TGGAGCAGTTTCAACAAGACGTGCTGTATCCGCCATGTGTGCATTCACAAGCAGTTCCAATTGTGAGATGACATCTTGTCCAAACAATACAGAACGCTTGCCAGCCGGTACAACGAAACATTCACAGAGAATGGTGTTGTCTCCTACAGCAATATCGACGTCCGCCATGCCAAGAGTCTTCACTTCGCCACCGTTGTATGCTCGAAGTATGCGGTCACTTGAGCGGGTAGGCTGCACCACATCATCCGTGAGAATGGTGCGTGTTGCTCCGGTGTCAAGCAATCCCTCACATGGCTTGCCATTCACCATCAGTGTCATGGTGAACTGGCCTCTGGCTGCCTTATCGCTGCATGCGAAAATAGAATCATACACCACTTGTGCAGTGTCACTGTCTTCCTCCGCATCTACTGCATTGGCTTTGTTAGGCTTGCGTGAGAGACAAACCGCTTCGAAATGGCCAACTTTCCTGCAGCTGTTGCAACGGACATGTGCTGCTGGGCAGAACTGCTTTCCATTGGCATGCATTCGACCACAGTACTTGCAGCCAGGACCTTTCGTCATTTTCCTCTTGAGCTGGTGCTTGGGTTCACTGCCTGACACAGCCGCTGTGGTCTCTGGCTTCACACATGCTGCTACACTAGGTCCTGGTTCACTGTTGTACAAGTTGGAGTCCAAAAGTGATGCTTCCATTGCAACTGCCTTCGAGAGAGCGTCCGCCAAAGTCAGCTTAGGCTCCTTCAATAGTTCGCGCCTCGAGTCTTGCGACCTCAATCCAGCAATTAACTGGTCGCGGACTTGAGTATTGACTACCGTGTCAACATCTGTCGATGCGAAACTACACAGTTCCACTTTCTCTCTCAGCCGACTCATGAAGGTTGAAACCGATTCGTCCGGCAGCTGCCTAATCTGACGAAACTTGTGCCGCTCTGACGTCGCATTGATGGACGGTCGAAAATGGCAACGAAGTGACTCAGTGAGGGCTTTGTAAGTGTCTCCCGGGTTATCGTCAGTTGCATCGTCTGGAACGGGAACGACTAAACCTTTGACGATCCTCCTGACATTGAGACCGGCGAGATTCAAGAAAAGGCACTTCTTTTCTCCTGGGTCCGTCACTTGGCAGATCTTCATATAATCATCGACATCTTCTAGCCAGAGATTGAAGTCTGCGCCCGTATCTCCACCATAGCCAGGAGAAAATTCTTTCGGAGGTCGTCCCTTTGCCATAGCGTCAAGTTGCTTGAGCTGTTCACTGCGCCAGTGTAGTGAGCTGGCCAGAATGTAATGATTACTGGAATGACAAGAGACTATAACATACAGCAGTGTGAATGTAGCACATCATGAAGGTGTGAGTACGACACATGCAGTGATGTGTAGAATGCAACATATGACAGCTAGGTGGTGTAAGAACAACGCAGTCACTATCACTACAGTAAGATCGGGCGCCGAAGAACACCTCGCCGAAGAACACCCAGGCTGGAAAACCGGCAAAATTTAAGAACAGTCCAGGCTAGAATTATCAGATTTAAGAACACTTTTAAAATTTGGAATTTCCACATGAGTGCAGTATGTGTAAACAGTAACTGCTACATCATAGTACATGTACAGTCATTCCCATTTACGACACCCACTAGTTTAGAAGTACTACATAATAAGTCATTGCACTACACGTATATGTACATGTACATGACAAACGTCATGACGTCACTCGACTCGCAGCGCGCGTGTGAATAAGAACGGTCTGGCTAGAATCAAAAATTTAAGAACTTTCCTAGGCTGCGCTCGAGCCCCTGCGTTCTTCGGCGCCCGATCTTACTGTACAACTGCACGCTGCCACCCTAAAGCAACAAAATTCACAGTGCAACGAACAGCTTAATTGTGTCGACCTTACGACCTAATTTATTACAATAAAATAAACGTACCTTCTTTCCCACTGTCGATCCGGTAAGAAGCAGCGAAAACTTCAGGCCCCTAAGACTGCTTGAATTTTCTCCGCAGCGGACTGCTACTAAAAACATCAGCTTGGCATAAAGACCAGGCTCATTCTCTCTATGAGATACCTAGCGTAAATGAGAGCCTTCTCGCCGCCAGCCACAACAATAACAACAACAAAAATCACCTCCACCGAAAAAGACATGCAGTACGAGAGTTGTGTGTACAGCGTGAGTTCAAAAAATCCTTTTTCATTGAGATCACATAAAAACCTTCACGCTCGATCGCGCGAGCTCAGCACCAGCAGTGACGTTTGGGTGGAAATATTTTATTTGAAAAACTTTTGTTAGGCGCGATGTCGCTGATTGCTGGTGATGAAAAAGTCCGTGGTGTGAAGGCCGCTACTTGCGATAAGTGGATCTCGGACAATGATGCAGAGCTGACTTCTTCCGCCTGGCTGATTTATGACCGGCAGAAGAACGATCGGCTGTTAGCAGAATGTTTGAAGTGTTCCGTGTGCATCAAGTTTGTAGACAGAGTCCGCAGTTGTAAAAACTTCAGCGAGGCTCAGTTTCATAACCGGGTCCAAGAACCTGAGAACATCAGCGTTCAAGGATCATGCTGGAACGGAGATGCATAAACGAGCAATGAATATTTTCCGCAGGCAAGAGTGTCCCGCTCGAAATGCCCTCGAATTCGCTCCAATTGCGAAGGCACTGTGCGAGATGGACGATGGTGCTGCCGCTATTGCACGACGCAAATTCGAAGGTCAAGGAGCATATCGCGTTCGCAAAATTCTTGACTGCAACGCTTTCTTGTACATACATTTGTCGTCAGTAAAATAGTTCAGTTTCTAATACTAATAAATTGGCGAATTTTACATAGTAATGTGTGAGATACGTCCACATAATGAGTCATTGTGAATATACTTCAGTACTACTAAAAAAAAAGAAGAAACACCCTGAAAATGTGTTGTGGAACATGTCCGGGCATGTCCGGACAGATTTCAAAACGGAAGGACATTTGTCCGAGCTCAAGTAAATGAAATCCTTAAGCTATGCCCTGCATGTACAGTCGACCTACCCCTATAACGATATTTGCATCAGACCAAGAAATATTGTTATAAGGGTAATATTGTAAGGGTATTGGTTCATTTCATACATGTACGTCATAATGCATGGATTTTGTTCTTCTTTTGCACTCTTCATGGTATAAAAAGCTGACGTAAATGCGCATTATATACACAGCAAGGTACTCACTGGTGCCCCCATTGTATTTCAACATGTCCCAGCGACTTATCAAGTGAAGCTTGCCCTACCTGGATAGTGGGCTCTGTATATTCCCTGCTAGATATTGTTATAAAATGGAAAATGTCGATTGGTCAGCCCATTTTATATCGTTATTGGGGTAATTTCGTTATAGCAATATGTTATAGAGGTAAGCCATTGTATACAAAAGTCAATGGAGTGATTTGGTTTGGCAGAAATACCGTGTATTCTCTATTATAAGCGCCGTGCTTCTATTTTTTCAACACCCCTCTACCCTGTGCTTATATTGGAGACCGCGCTTATATTGGAGACCGTGCTTATATTTTTTCAACCAATACATCCATACAGAGCAAGAAGAAATACATGCTAGATATCATGCATGCAGCATTGATTTCCACCAGGACCGTGCTAATAATAGAGACTGTGCTTATAATGTTTCGAAAGGGGATCACAGTGTGCTAGTATTAGAGACTGTGCTAGTAATGGAGACCTGTGCTTATAATAGAGAATATACGGTATATCGTTTAAGGGTAATATCGTTAACCCTTTGCCGGTCTAACTCAATGTATGTGAGGGGTGGTCACGCAAATACATGTACACACAACCAGCAATAACTCAAGAACCATTTGATGTTGGTATGGGTAAACCATATATTTTCAATATCTGTATGCCTGAACGCTTCCAGAAAATTCAAATATGACCCGGTCCAGGCAAGGATAGGGCCCATGGTAGCCCTTCAAGCTAAGAGAAAATACAATTGCGAATGAAATACACGAATATCACAGCACGAAGGGCATACCAAGTTCGTGATGGAGCTGAAGTCGTACGATAAACAATCAGGTAAGGGCTACGCCTTTACAAGAAATGTAGGCTCTCTACAATACCGCCATTGAACACCAACACCTCGCCATCGACGATACGCCAGCAGCAGCAATTCCCATTCCACGATATCGCAGTTTCGGTTTGTTCATCTCAACACTGCTCGCGTCAGATTCACTCTCGCTCAGATGAGTACTCAGGCGCGAGCTTACGCATGCCGTGATTCTCACGGCCAGGCGCATCAGCTGATCGCACCTGACGAGTCCTTGTGACAGTCGCTGTCGCCGTGTCGGCAGCAAGAAGGCTTCCTCTCTGTTTGGAGAATTTTGTTTCTTCATTCGTGGACGATATATTTTTGAACTGGCAGGACTCAACGGAGCTCTTTTTCTCAACAAACTACACTGCAAAACCTCCCAGGAGATCCAGCCTCGACTGGTGATGTTACTGCTCTCAGAACGCTTGTCAAACACGGCCCCAAGAGATGCACTCGCATTCTTGAAATGCGCGCATGGCGGATGGTCGTCTTTTCCAATTTCAACAAACTTCAGTCGATCGATACGGCAAAAATTTGTATGGTAAGTATGGTTGTTTTGCACATCGTCAGAAAGCCTTGGACCTCAGCTGCGAGTAGAGCGCCATTTTAGCTGTCTCCTAGCAACAAGACCCCAAAAAAATTAGGGCCAAACGTACCGATACTATAGTATCGGTACGCTTATGGTAGACCGGTAAAGGGTTAAAGAGGTTATCGTTATAAGGGTAGGTCGACTGTACATGTACTTCACAAAACATGTATTGAATGCTGACTCATGCAGATATGGTATTGTACATGTTGTTCTGGGTGTGTGTACACATTAGGGCTTTCAAGTGACATTTTAGCATATACATGCATCTTCTAACTAAATACCGACAGGAACAAGATCCTGCGATGTTGATCAATTTCAGTCATGGGTTATCATGGTACCGTTCTGCTGTGGCATTCTTCAGGACAAAAGACGGCACCGAGCAAGATAACCTTGATCCGGCAGAGCTGGGAGACAGAGCGCAGAACATTTCCTTCCCCAATCTGGCAGCAGAGACTCGTGCGGTGGTTTCAATGCGGCTGAGATCACGCAAGGATATGTCCAAGCTGGAAATCCGGATCCGTGACTTCAGTGAGGGTACACTGCAATCCGCCCGCAGCTTGGCTGGCCTGTACAAGTGTCACATCACTAATGAACAGGACTCCAAGGCCAAGACGTTCAGAGTGCTGTGGAATCTACCAGAAGAAGGTAAATAGTTCAAACACAAGTGGAAACCATTTACATGTAGGAAAAGAAAGCAATAAATATCTGTGCTTGGAAAACATTACCGTATTTCCCCGATTGTAAGTCGCACCTTTTTACACTAAAATTCAGGGTAAAAAAGGGGGTGCGACTTACAATCGAGCATGACTTACTACTGAAGTGAATATATCGCAACAATATTGCTCAAACCTGAAAATGGGGGTGCGACTTATAATCGAGTGTGACTTATAATCGGGGAAATACGGTACCTACTTTATTTCAGTGGCCCAACTTCCATTCTGTGGGATGTTCTTCTTGGTCAATACATGCACAGGCGTTAGCAGCGAGGGAGCATCCCAGGCACCGCAGGCGTGTGCGTATGTCGATGTGGGTGGACTTTGTCACGAAACTGCCGGGCGTTTCAGGCACGATCCAACCAGCGGCAACATCATCGATTGCCACAACATGACGGAACAGTGCAGCAATGGGCGCACATGCCTGGCGGTGTTCAAGGCAACGGAGGTGGACGGCATGTGCAAGTACGTGCAGACCATCGGACGCTGTCACAGTCTGCAGGTGGAGGAGTGCTCTAGAGCGTGCACGGCCAGCCGCACGTCGCAGCACAACTCCACCGTGCAGTGCTGCTGCCACGGGCACATGTGTAACTACGACGTCCACTTGCCCACCACGTGCCTGCTGAACCGTGAGGTGCATCACTGCAACCGCACGCCCGGCTATCTGTGGAACGCAACTTCATCACAGTGCGAAGATATCAACGAGTGTCAGAGAAGATTCCCGCTTGAGCACATGTACCTGCAGGTATGCCCGGACACCATGCAGTGTAGGAACACGATTGGATCATTTGAATGCGTGTGTCAGGAAGGCTACACCACTCCTAGCAGCAGTATCACCAGCGGTGTTGCTATGCTCAGGAGCAATGTCCCCAGCGTGGCACCGCCGTGTGTTGACGTGAATGAGTGTGCACTGGGCCAGCATGACTGTCAGCCTACGCAGACTTGCAGCAACACACCAGGAGGCTACATGTGTACTGGTAAGGAATCTGCACACACAGGAGCGACTAGCTAGTCAACACACAGCGTCACAAGTTACTACTGCATTGCGTAGACTAGTTTGCGTGTCTTACCACCAGACTGCGCATCTAGAAACACGTAGTTGAGTGTGCATAGAGAGCCTAGTGATTTGTGATAGGTCCCTATTAATGTAGTTTGCTTGACAGCATGTTACGAGATGAAGGACACACTGTGTTCGGAAACAGTGCTCCTTACTACAACCTGCACTGTAATATAGTGCAGTAAAACATGTCAAGGTTACCTATTGGACAAGGCGATCACCTGTCCAAGAAGTCTACTGCAACGAAGACCAAGGGATGCGGTTTCCAGTCAAATGACCCTGGATAAGGAGACCACCTGGTAACAGAGACCACGTTTTGAAGGTCCCTTGAGTGATCGTCTTAGACCAGTTTCACTGCATTAGTCCAATGTCACGAGTCTTGGCAATGGAGCACCACAAGCTGGCACAACTGTATGCAGATCATGTACATGTACATGCGCTATATAGGTCCTGCCACACCTCTATGGGTATTTACTCCTGTCACGTATAATTATAATGTGTGTACATGAATGTATGTGCGTGTGCTTCTGATGGTTGTCCGCTAACACACTGCAGATGCACCGGTAGGGTCTGATCAGTGTGAGGTAGTCAGCTGTGCACCGTGCAACATGGCAGAAACACTGCGTCCGGCCGAGAGTGAAGCCTATAACATCAACAGCACGCACTGCTGCTGGCAGCACGTCTTCAATTGTCCCCGGCCTGTGTCTGGCGAGAAAGTCGGCTGCTTTGCAGAGTATGACTGCCACCACCGGCGACTTGCCCTGGGCAAGTGTATGCAGATGCAAGGCCACTGGCGTATGAGCAGAACGTGCGACATTGACTGCAACCACTACCCCTCCACCTACTGCTCATGCGAGGGCAATTTGTGTAATCATCACGAACAGCTCACAGTCAATGGGCTACACGGCATGTAGTCCTTTATCCTGCCTACTACTGCTGCTGCTGCCGGTACTCTAGATGACTCAAGGACAAGACAAGACTATGCCATGCCCATACCTGATACATACCTCAGTGTCTGAGGAGCAGGCACATTCAGCTTCCTCGATCTCTGCAGTAGTGACAAAGGCACTGCACTGCTCAAGCTTCAAGAGTGCTGAGCACCCAACCCACACTCACATGCAAGTAAACCTAGTCATTTCCGTTGATACAGTACATTTCAAATCACAATTATCGGAACTTTTTACATTTGCCAAATATGTACTATTTAATTAAGGCCTGCCATGCTTCCAGCAGTGATTATGATTACCATAGGTAACCTTGCGTCTCCTACATGTACTATATGTACTTCCAACTAGTAGCAGAGCTTTGATATAACATAACATAGAGTAGGATACATAAGATTAACAGGTAGATAGTCTCGGTTATAAGTAGATAAATATCACATTTCATGCATATTATTATAACACTCGGAATGATCGCGAAGAGTCACTCGGAATGATCGCGAAGAGTCTAAAAAGAAATGTGCTCTTGGTATACGCTCAATGTCTCAAAGAGCAAGGCCATGTTTGTTGAAAGGGGATAGCGAAAGCCGTGGCTGGTGGCTCTCTCTGCTTTGGTTTACCTAACAGTCCCAATAGTTGACTTGAAAGTCGTGCATGTATCTCAAGCATACATGAACCATATTCAGAAAAAAATTCCTAAAGAAAGGTAGAAATCTATTCAATATTGGTAGCCATTTTGGAGGAATAGGGTACGGGTAGATCTCAACAGGTAGGTAAAATTGCGTAGAAAAGTGTGTGTTGTGTGCTCATATCTTCCCTAACCGTGCGGACGTGTGGACGGGTTTCTGTTGTCACAGTTGCTCAAGTACATGATCTATAACTGAACATTCTCGGTCTGAGAATTGCCAAGGTCGAGTGTGTTTGTTGCTTCTAACATACTGGTCCTATTTCCACTGGCATTGTTTCCCACCACCGGGGCTAGGGCGTCCGTTGGTGGTGGTGATTTGTTCACCATGACAACCACGTTACCGTCTGCAAGGAGCGAGTTTTCCCTTCGTGGCGATGGATGTGCTGCTGGTACCATAGTGTAAGGGTCGGTAATGGCTGACCGTGGCACGCAGTAACCGTCCTCCTCGGGCTGTGGTGTTGATTCGGACCTGGCCATGGGTAAGGCGCTGGTCGCAAGGGCGTACTGAAAGTCGTCACCGGATTCAGCGAGGTGTGTCCGGTTGATGTAGCCTATCGGTGAGGTTGCGGCCTTCTCTATATATTCATTTTCCATGATGTCGTTTCCTCCGGGGCTAGTGGCAGGCAGATTGCTGTACTGTGGAGGAGTGTGTAAGCGGTGAGTTGAGGACTCCTCTACCGGCACCGTGACAGGCAATGGAGCTGCAGTGCAGTTGTCGTAGGTGGCATCGTTCATCTCCGCAATGTCACCGCCGCCGCCGCCACCTCGCCCGGCAGTCTGCGGCGGGGTTTTAAACGGTTCTTGATATCCCACCTCGTCCGGGGACCCAGCACCAGCCACATTGTCATACTCAGCTATTGGTGGAGCGGCAGCAGCCTGTGTGTTGTCGTACTCTGCCTCAACTGGAGCAATGGCCTGCGTGTTGTCGTACTCGGCTGTTGTGTCATCTTCATTGCCATCGGACACTGGACCGGGAGTCCTGCGGGCGGCGTTATCATAGTCAGCCTCGGTTGACGGATCCATGTAACCATCGTCATCATACTGAGCCAGGTCCTCTTGGGTCAGGTCAAAGTCAGGCTCATTGTAGATACCCTCTGTACCCGCCTTGCCCGCACCCTGAGCCAACTTGTCAGCCTGCATAAAGTCAGCACAGCACAGGATTGGTACATGTACCACAAAAAAAAGTTACACAATTGCTAAAACACTGCTTACATTGCAGGCCGGTCTGCAGTTCTGGTCCGTCTACAGACTGATGCCATGATAATACAGTATTACGTAGGGTTTACAGACTGATGATAATTTCAATGCAGTACTGTGACCAGTAAATCATGGTATGTTGCTTACCAGTAGCTAAGCTAGGACTAGGAACCGAGGTGTGCGTGTGTGTGTGTGGGGGGGGGGGGGGCGTATAGAAGTTACTTAAAAGTACATTCATTCACTATATCAAAGTGCCAAGGACTCGTTAAAATCGGGCAGCAACCCTCACACACAAAGGAGATGAGCGATTGCTGCTGCTGTGCTAAAGGGGGGGGGGGGGGGGCAGATTAGCCCATTGTGCAATATCTTACCACAATCAGCCTTATGGAGACCTGTGAATAGTTTGCGGCCACGCATGGGTCAACGTACCTTTGTCTGAACAAAGTCCATGGGGGTCATCCGCATCTTGGCCAGCTGCTGCCGGATGTCAAGAAACGATGGCCGGTGTGTCGGGTGAAGCCGACGCCAGCCTGTTAGAAAAAAGAGTAGCAAATTAAAGTGCTTGTCATTATGAACACGAGTAGACTGCAGTCTACCACGCATAACTTCTAAACTAGTCGGCTGCTGATTTTGCTGGGAGCAGCAAAGCAGGAATACCACAGAAAGTCCAATGGGATCAGGGTGTACTGTACTGTGTGTGTGGGGGGGGGGGGGCAAAATTTATGGAAAACAATGCCTACTACCTTGGTGTACACATACATGTGTACATACATTCTTGGCAATGTTCATGTACTGTAAAAGCCGCTGAGAAATTTTCTGTGGTGTAATATTTTCGGTATTCTCCAAAATCGGCGGTTCGGTGGAGGGAAATGTTCGGCAAACCCGTTTTCCAGGTAAGTGTACTACTTCGAAGTTGTACAGAACCGAAATTTTTGGTGCGTTTTATTTTAGGCCACGCCGTTTTTTCTATGTTTCGCGTCACCTTATTCAATGAAATCAATGAGGGAGGGCGAAAAAAATAAAAAATAAGCCATCCAAAAAAAAACCAGTGTACGTGCATTGCATTTGTGTACAGTGAAGCGACGCGGCACTGTTCATGTACATGAATACATGAGTACGAGTGTATCCCCTCTGCCATGATTGTGTGACTTGCGGCCCAGCTTATTACACACACAGTCATGTACATGTACATGTGTGTGAGCTGAGTACAATCATGCGATAAATGGAACAAAATTGATGCCAACATAATAGTTACGTGTAACAATCATGTTCCGTTTTTTCTTCTTTTTGGGTAACATTTTCCGGTTTTCTGGGTTTGCATTTTAAATTTGTATTGCATTTTCAAAAAAAAAATTTTTGTTTGGTTTTTTTAAAACTCCGGCTGTGAAATACATGCGCGCGGGGAACGCGAAACATAGATAAAAAAACGGTGCGGCCTTAGGTAAAATTGTCGGCACCGAAGTTACCGAAAATAAAACACCACCGAAAAGTTCTGCTTTTACAGTACATAACATTGTACATGACACTGTGCACACTTACATTCTCTCATGAGTTTATATAGACTATCACTGGCAGCCGTGGGTTGAGGGAGTCGTTCACCAGACTCTAACAGTGGCAGTACACCGTGTAGTGGTACTCGCCTGTATGGAGAGTTGCCAAACGTCAGCACTTCCCAGGCAGTGATTCCTGCAGGATGGCGGGCAAATAGGCAGAGTACACAGTACAGCAGTGTTATCATACATGTACAGTGAAACCTGTCAAGGCGACCACTCGGATAAGGCAACCACCTGTTCTAGAAGACCACTGAAACCAGGATCAGGGGATTCTATTTCCAGTCTAATGACCCTGGATAAGGAGACCACCTGGTAACAGAGACCACGTTTTGAAGGTCCCTTGAGCGGTCGTCTTAGACAGGTTTCACTATACATGTACCCTTCTAGGAGCTACAGTGCAAGTCCTTCCTTGCCGTGGTTGGCTAACACCCTCTCTCTTTGTATTGGCCGGTGTTCTCACTGCGCTATGAGATGCTGTAATAAATAAATAAGTCAGGGAAAGTTGCAATAGGCTTGGTTTCGCCCACACATACAGTGTAAGAGAAGTGACCATGTGTCTAATGGTGCCCGGGCCCCCGGTGACTATAGATATGGTGCGATTGCGAGACACCAAGTGCACTGAGTCGAAAATCACAGAGAAGGGACACCTACCAAAACTCCAGACATCAGACGCATGCGTGAACTTCTTCTGCAAGATCGTTTCTGGTGCCAACCACTTGATGGGAAGCTGGAAGGAAACAGCAGAAGCAAAAGTGCAGCAGTGAAGCCAGAGTATTTTTGACGTGGCATTCAACTCGAGCCTGATAACGATCGGAAACAAAAACGTAATCGTGAGATATACCATGCACTTGGTGGTAGGGAACCCTGAACGATCGGCACGTTTCCTCACGACTGTGCTTCTTTTCAGGCTGAAAACCTTTCATGCTGTAGTCATTTGACCATCAAGCCTTCAAAACAACGGGCCAGCCAGCTTCACAGGACACAGGGCTTCACACGGTCCTTTGTAAAGGTTACAAGGCAAGGATGGTATAATGTCTGCGCCAATGCCAAACTAAGCTGCATGCATGTACTGTAAAAAAAGGTCTTACCTTTTGTGTGGCCTCAGCAGCTATCTCTTTCTGACCAACATCCAGCAGCCTTGCCAGGCCGAAGTCGGTGAGTTTCACCAGGTTTGGGTGCTCCACTGCAAGTCACCATAGTTCGGGAATACAACACATGGACAGTAGATCTAGAATCAATCCGTGATCTAGCTTGAGCTTGTGGTACACATACAAGCAGATGGATCGAGGCACAATTTCAATGGGAAAGCACGGGTGAGCATGGGTGATGTGGGTGAGCATGTGTTGTATGATAACAGCTTATCATGGATGTGGAAGTACACCTCTTCAATACATCATGCCACTGTGTCACCGCTAGCAGAACTTACCCAGGACGTTTCTAGCAGCCAGGTCACAGTGCACGACTGACTGCTCCTCCAGGTAGTGCATACCCTAAAGCGATGCAAAAAGAAGAGTGCACAGGTACATGTCATGCACGCTAAATCAATGTCAAGGAAATCGTCCATGGAAGATGCAAATGATATAGAGTCTATAGTAAGCAGATGCCGTGACTCCTGTCACTGAGAAGGATACTAGAATTTCACATACCGGTACACTGTAGCTGTTAGAGTAATGTTCGGTGGCTTAGTCCACTTCGTCTATGCTTTGTCTATGTCACGATGTTATCACTAGCAATGAGTACTAAACATACTCTTTACAAGACATGAGATTTCCAGTCTCCAATGCTAGGTGATCTCTAATGACAGGTGGTCTCTAACAATAGCTGGTCTCTTATTGCAGTGGTTGCTCTAAACAGTAAACACAGGTTCTGCACCGTACGGTGGTTACATGTATCATAGAATAATGACATCATACAGCACATAATCATCATATTGTCAACTTACATCACTGATCTGCTGGCAGTAGAGCAACAGGTTGTGTCCGTAGAGCGTTTCCTTACGCACTCTCAAGAATCCCAGCAGCGAGCCCAGCGGCGCCAGCTCCGATACCATCATGATGCTCGGTTCCATGCAGATACCGAGAAGGCGAATCAAGTTCTGATGCTCCAGCGAACTCATTACAGCCGATTCCTGTAGATAATCACCCATGTAGACCATGAACAACCTTCTTCACACAGACCAAGCAAGGAAAAATGGGGCTTCCAAAGTAATTGTATGTCTCTACTCTGTAGTATACGGCTTCCCGGTGCAGCTCCCACACAATCAGTCATGGCATTCATCTTGCTTATACCTTGCACATAGCTCAGTTGAAGTTGCACAATCAGTCAAGACATTCATCTTGTTTTATTACCCTGCACAGTATTGACTTACATCTAGCAGTTCTTTGTGGGCATTTGATGCGGCAGCAGAGTTCAGCACCTTTATGGCTACATCAGAGGTTTGCACTCCATCTTCCGTCCAGGTACCCTGCATAGGAAAAGAGGTAGTGGGTTTGTCAATTTCAACAATGCAGTTTCTCTCACATCAACAAAATGAAATAAATGTATTGCATTCCGAACCTATTTAAATTGAATGCATAAAGCAAGCCCAGCTGTGCCTTGTCAAAGGCCGCAATGAAGCAAACGGGCGTTCTTGTTCTCTCTCTATCTCTCTCTCCTGCCGGCCCTGGAGTCCCCTCCTCCCTCCCTTAAACACACACACAAGCACATGTCGGTCCATACCTGATAAACGACTCCATACGCACCAGAGCCAAGCTGTTCTCCTATTTCCAAGCAAGGCCTGGGTATGAGGTTCAGCACACCACGTGTTGGTGCCTTCTTGGCTGGTGCAGGCTGAAGTGTCATGCCCATCTGCATGGACACCATAAGAACAGTGAAACCACTCTCATAAGGCCTTTGCACTTACTTATTGTAATCCGACTTTAAAATTTCTACTGAGTCACTTTCACACATGGGACTTATGACATGGCACACTGGTAACAAGTTTGAACATACAAGTAGCATACCCCCCCCCCCCCCACCCTCTCTCTCTCTCTCTCCCTCTCTCTCTCTCTCTCTCTCTCTCTCTCTCTCTCTCTCTATCTCTCTCTCTCTCTATATCTCTATATCTCCCTCTCTCTCTATCTCTCTCTCCTATCTCTCTCTCTATCTCTCTCTCTCTCTATCTCTCTCTCTCTCTCTCTCTCTCTCTCTCTATCTCTCTCTCTCTATCTCTCTCTCTCTATCTCTCTCTCTCTATCTCTCTCTCTCTATCTCTCTCTCTCTATCTCTCTCTCTCTATCTCTCTCTCTCTATCTCTCTCTCTCTATCTCTCTCTCTCTATCTCTCTCTCTCTATCTCTCTCTCTCTATCTCTCTCTCTCTATCTCTCTCTCTATCTCTCTCTCTATCTCTCTCTCTATCTCTCTCTCTATCTCTCTCTCTATCTCTCTCTCTATCTCTCTCTCTATCTCTCTCTCTATCTCTCTCTCTATCTCTCTCTATCTCTCTCTATCTCTCTCTATCTCTCTCTATCTCTCTCTATCTCTCTCTATCTCTCTCTCTCTATCTCTCAAACGCTCAGTTGAAGATCCATCTCACTCAACATTTCCCAACCTCATACCTCAAAAACACTAACATCGAAGAGACTCTGGACAAACTAGAGAACTTCATTCACTGGTTTTTCGACCAGAAACCACCACCACCTCCACCAAAACACAAGAATGCAAATGAAAACCGTGCAGTGGAAAAACTCCGGGCTCACAGGCGTGATTTAAAGCGCCAATTTCGTAAGATCAAAAACCCGGACGAAGTACCTGCAGCGCTCAGAAATGAGTATTTTTCAATTGGAAAACAAATCAAGCGTCTTTTGAAACAACAAAAGATGTATGACGATCGATCCCGGAACAAGAGGGACCAGGATGCCTTTCTCAAGGACCCATATGCCTTCGGAAAGAAATTGTTTCAACCAACCAACCATGTCAAACCCACTTTCTCTGACACTACCTGCTTTGAGTACTTCCAACACACATATGCAGACCAGGATCGTGCCACTTCGTACGAATCCTGCCCTAGTGCAGGGAAGCCCCGGGATTGCACCCACCCAGTCGATGAGGGGACCCCTACATGGACTGAATTTCAGAATGTTTTGAAGAAGTGTCGCAACACCTCTGCACCGGGTCCTGACAAGATACCTTACATAGTTTGGAAGCTTTGTCCCTCCCTTCAATCCATTCTTTTCACCATCTTTGGGCGGGTTTGGGAGAGCAAGATCATTCCAAGGCAGTGGCAGGTAGCGTGTATCACACTCCTGGCCAAGGGGGAGGTGTCTGATGATCCTTCGAAATTCCGACCGATTGCTCTAGCGAACACGTCCGGGAAGATCTTTTTCACCTTAGTTGCAAAGCGCCTCTTGAAACATATGCTAGGCAATAAGTTCTTCGATGGTGACAACCAGAAAGGATTTATGCCTGCAAAGGCTGGGTGCTTAGAGCATACATCACTTTGTTATGAGGCGATGCGTGATGCAAAGACGGCAAAACGCCAAATTTGCATTGCGTGGATAGATTTGAAGAATGCATTTGGTTCAGTGCGCCACAATCTGATACAGTATGCTCTAACCCACTACAGCCTTCCTTTGCAATTCAGGAAATTAATTTTTTCCTACTACGACAGTCTTTGCGCTTTCGTCGTACAACCACACACCCCCACCTTTAATTACAACATTGGTGTTTTCCAGGGGTGCCCCTTGTCCCCGGTCCTTTTCAATATTTGTTTCCAGCTTCTGCTGGACTCACTTGCAGCCCCTGAATTAAGTTGCCTCTCCTATGATTTTAAATCTGCCCCTTTGCAAGTGTCCCAAACAGCTTTTGCTGATGACTTAGGCCTCTATAGCAAATCTAGTGCAGGTTGTCAAAAACTCATTGCGGTCACGGAGGACTTTCTCTCGTGGACCCAATGTATGCAGGCGGCGCCGCACAAATGCAAAAGCAGTGCAGCAAAGCTTGTAGATGGCCGGTACAAACCTTACGATCCCTGCCTGACAATGTCAGGGAGGAAGATCGCTTTCATTGACACTGCAGAGTTCAAGTTCCTGGGGCGAAGGCTGCATGCTGATTGCTCTGAGCAGACCCAGCGGGAAGACATCCGTCAACTCACTGTATCTCTCATGCAAAAAGTAGATGGCTCTTGGCTTCAAGACCACCACAAGCTATGGCTTTACCACCATCTTGTAGTGCCCAAGCTTTCTTGGTCTTTCCAGGTTCTTGAACTCACACAAGGTTTTGTACGTGAACTGCACTTTATGTGTTTACCATTTCTGAAGAAATGGTCAGGCCTACCTCGATGCGCAAACTCTGCCATTCTTTTTATTGGCAGTCGCAAACGCTTTGGCTTACGCCTCCACTACCTTCCTACGGTGTGGAAAAAGTGCCAGTCCATCAAATGGCACATTCTTCGATCGAGTGGGGACGCGCGCATGAGGGCGCTGTACACTCTGCGTCGGAGTAAGGATGCGAAGCTGACAAAGCGATATGCGGCGACAATAGAGCTGGAGTGTGCAGAGGCATCAGTAGGTTCAGGGACTCTCCGTCCACCGTCATCTTCAAGTCATCGTGCAGGGTTGGGTGCTCGTGCTCCGAAGCAGCATTCCAAACCCCCGAGGAAGGATCTCCTTCAAACATTTGAGGAGATCAACGCGCAGGAGCAGATTTTGAGGCTGAAGACTCTTCAGGTGCAAGGCAAGTGGTTGGAGTGGACATCGGTGATGTGGCAGGACCTCTCGTGGAAATCCCTTTTGTACGGTGGTACTGGTAAGGATTTGAAATTTCTTCTCGCATCAACCCTCGACGTGCTACCTTCTCCGACGAACCTACGCCGTTGGGGAAACACCGTAGTGGATCCATACTGTAGTTTGTGCCGTACCTGGGCCTGTACTACGCGCCACGTGCTTGGCGCTTGTCGCGTAGCGCTGGACCAGGGACGTTACACCTGGAGGCACGACAACGTACTCGGGGTCATCGTCAGGAACATGCGTGAGGAGATTCGAATCCGCACTGCTGCAAACACCGTACAAACCGGAAATTCAAATGAGCTTGACTTCATCTCGTTTTGCAAGGCGGGAGAGAAGCCAGTTCGCGTTCAGCCCAGACGAAAGTTGGTTACGACTGATCTCCTGTCAGCGGCCTCAGACTGGAAACTTCTTGTCGACTCAGTTAGTGCAAAGATTTCTTTCCCTAGCTGTGTTGCACTTACCACCCTCAGACCAGATATAGTTCTGTACTCTACGAGTCGTAGGATTGTATTCTGGATGGAGTTGACAGTTTGTGCTGAGGACAGATTCAGTGTCAGTAACTCGCGGAAGGACAGGCGGTATGCGGATCTGGCCGATCAATGCCGAGCAAACGGGTGGCAGGTCGTTTCTTTTTCGGTTGAGGTAGGTGTGCGTGGTTTCATCCCGGACTCTCTTCGGAGGGCTCTGAAAGCGCTTGGATTTTCTAATCGAAGAATAAAATTTATTTGTAATTTGTGCAGTAAGACGTCTCTGCGAAGCAGCTACATCATCTGGTTGCGGCGTCAACAAAAACACTGGTCGGAAGATCCACTTTTCTGAGGTACTGTATGTGGGGCTCCGTTTATTGAGGTGCGTTGAAATTTATTCTCTTTATCTTATTATTTCTTTTCTATAATTTCCCCATATGAGTTCCTATCAGTTGCTGTGAACACCTTGAGTGGAGAGC